GATCATGATGATGATGATGATGATGATGATGATGATGATGATGATGATGATGATGATGATGATGATGATGATGATGATGATGATGATGATGATGATGATGATGATGATGATGACTGATGATGATGACGATGATGATGATGATGATGATGTTACCCGGGAAGGAGGCCACATCGCGGGTGGGTGGGTGGGTGGGGACGGTGGAGACTGCCAGCATGCTCGTCCAGGGTGGGTGGCCACCACCATAGGTTGGAAAGCCCCTCTGTGTAACCCATATATACACCCCCCCTACTTCGCACACAATCACATCCCGTTCCATCTCCATATTACCCCCCTGTCCCTGTGTGTTATATATCTATGTTTCGCAAATCAAGGTTTCGGCCTTTTCAGCCACCTCACATAACTCCAGAACCGGCAAGAGTCCTTAACCCCAAGTCCTTATCTCTTACATCATTGGGGCCCGCACCCCACCTGGTCTGCGTTTGCGTTGGTTGTCCCCTCCCCCACCCCTCCCCTGCCCCGCCCCTCCCCCACCCCGCCCCACCTTGATGGTTTCCACCAGCGCACTCCCCGCCGTGGTGGGGGGGTTGCGGCTCTCCTGGGGCACCAGCTGCCGGGTGCGCGAGACCACCGAGGGGAGGGCCAGGATGTCGTCCATGGAGGGCCGCTTGTCGGGGTTGGGGTCGAGACACTCCCGCACCAGCTGCTGCAGGTCCCGGGAGTAGCTGCCGGGCACGGGCGGGTAGGCGCCGCGGAGCACCTTGTAGCGCAGCTCGCTCATGGAACGGGCCTCGAAGGGCACCGTCAGCGCGGCCAGCTCGTACAGCAGGCAGCCAACTGCCCACGTGTCCGAGGTGTACGAGTACGGCCGGCTTTTCCAGATTTCGGGCCCCATGTAGTGCGGCCTGGGGATGGATGTGAGGGTGGTGGCAGTGGACGGGGAGGAATGGATGAGTGGTGCAAGTGCGTGACAGGGAGGTGGAGCATCAGGCAGTACAGAACCGTTGATGGTGGTGGTGGTGGTGGCGGTGGTGGTGAGGCGGTCTGGGAAAACTCGCCATCCCGCCAGTCTTCCCCACCTCCACCCACCCGCACCAACACCCATGCACACCCCCAGCCACACACAGAACCACTCACGTGCCGATCTGGGTCTTGGCCGCTGCCGTCTTCGTGAGCAGCTTCGCAATGCCCAGGTCCCCGATCTTGACGACTCCGTTTTCAAACACCATGATGTTCCCGGGCTTGATGTCCCGGTGCAGGATCTTCATCTTGTGCAGCGCCTGCAGCCCCATCACCACCTGGATGAAGTAGCGCCAAATGACGTCCTCCGGCAGGGGCCGCCGCATCTGCTGCTGCTTTCTGGGGCGGGGGCGAAGGGCGGGTCCACGCCCGGAGAGGGAGGAAAGGGAGGGAGAGGGGACAGCCAGCGGGGTTGAGAGGTGGGGATGACAGAATGATACATGCATGTTGGTGGGGTGTGGGCAAGGGGCCGGCTTTGGCGCCCCCTGGGCACCTAGCGCTGGGAAGAACCCTTAGGGCTTCTACGTCATCCCGCCCCTCTCTAGGCCCCTCCCGATTTCGTTAATACCCCACCCCACCCCTCTCCACCCCTCTCCCTGCCCATACCTCCCTTCCTCTCTCTCCCGCCACTCTCAACACTATTCGGCAATCCTTGTCTTAAGGTTTGTAGGTTTGTAGGTTTTCCACCTACCCTCCTCCCTCGCTCCTTTCACTTCTGTCAGCCCTCCCCCAGCTGCCCTCCCTTGACTCATGCACTCCCATCCCAGTAGTGGCCCGTATGGCTTACTTGATGACCTTGGCCAGGTCGCCATCCGCCGCGTACTCCATGATGATGCACAGCCGGTTGCCGTCCAGAAACGCCTCATTGTAGGAGATGACGTTAGGGTGCGACACGGAGGCAAGCAGGCGGATCTCGTTGATCGAGTCCTCCCGCTCCGCCTGACTCATGGATCGCACGTCCATCTCCTTCAGTGCGTATGTCTGTCCGTCAGCCAAACGTTGAACCAGGAAGCTGAGAGGCCAGACAGACAGATAGACAGACACACAGACATAGGGGTACGCAAGCGTGGAGGCGGCAAGAGGGAGAAGAGGCGAGGGGAGGGGGTTCAGAGGTGGTGGGAGCTGACAGCAACAGCCTGGGGAGGGGTTTGAGGGGAGGCGCATGATGGTAGCGGGTGTTTTGGATGTCTTGGATGTCAGGCAAGGCGGTGAGGAGGCGCGGATGTAGATAATTGCGGAAAGGTGCTGGTCGAGAGGGCCCACGTGACTGGTGGCTCCGGACATGCACGGCTGCTGCTAGGCGGCAGTGGAGAACAACTGGAGGGGAGCGCTGAGGGACACCGGGCCGCCGGGTGCTGTCACGGTGGCCTCCCCGATCGCTGTCTGTCAGCAGTGCGAGGACGCGCCCTCTCCTCCACGTCGTCCACACCCTTCCGCATCCCCCCAACCCCCCAAACTCGGGTCCCGGCTCGTTTTCCCCACCCTGTCTGGTCCTGGGGACCCCAGCCACCTTTCCTCCATACTTCACCGTGAGCAGTGAGCAGGACGATACACGCACGGCCCCAAACCTCGTGCAACCCGCCAGTGCTGTAAGGTCCAGCAAACCCGCAGCTACTACTACTACTACTGGGCGGTGCTGTGTGGACGTCTCTTGGCTCGTCACGGCGCATCAGGAGGGGCGCTCTCACCCCTCCGGGCCCTGATGCTGGCTGAGTGGGCCGCGCCCTCCCGTCCTTACTTGACCCCCCACCCACCCACCCACCCGCCTAGGGGGGCACAGCTGCCTGGGGCCTCTAAACACCCTAATGCCAATTAGTGCAGCTCCTGCTGTGGTGGTTGCTGTGGTGGTTGCTGTGGTGGTTGCTGTGGTGGTTGCTGTGGTGGTTGCTGTGGTGGTTGCTACTGCCGCGTCTGATGCTGAGTGAGAGGAAAGGCTCTGGCCGCCCCTAAGTGGGACCTAATGGAGGCTGCACCCAGGGGACAGGGTGGAGCAGGCATACCGCTATGTATGCCCAAGGCCATGAGGACAGGCCCCACCCACACCACCCACACTACCGCCAGCACCACCACCACGCCCGACTCCCTTCCCTTTCCTTCCCTGCCCGGTCCCGCTCCAACAATCCCCCCATGGACATTGCCACCATCGGGTGGCCTCCCTTGCTCATTAACGGCAGCTGCTGCGACTCAGGTCCACAACGCGAAGAATGGAACATCGGAACGGCCACACGCTTCAACTTACACGGAGCCATAGCTGCCTTTTCCCACGAATTTGAGGACCTTGAACTGCCGGTCTTTTTGCGCAGCTGCCATTTCCGAGCAATCGGGTCTAGGCGGTGGGGTGTGAAGGTCTTTTCGTCGCTATCAAGCAAAAGATTGCCGAAGGGCTGGCGAGCCGACTTCGTTCGCTGGTCGTCCACAGCGCTGTCCGGGTGGTGCCGGTGGGGTTTCGGTTGGGAAATGGCTTGGTGGGAATACAACGACAGGAAATGCTGCTGCTGCTCCTGTGAATTACTGGTCTGGGGTTGAGAAGTCCAGTGAGAAGGGCAGAGCGTCGTCCGTTCCCTAGCTACTCGCGGTACGTAGGGCTAGTGGAGCTGCCACCTGCCTGGAATGGGTTGCAGCGTCGCAGGCAAATAAGCTCAAATGTGCTTGTGTAAAACAGGGATGGCAAATCGTGGGTTCAGCGACATAGCGACGCGGCAGTAGATGCGTCCGGGCAGGAATGGCGCCAGAAGCGCACCCGAAGTTACCATAAAAGAGGTAGAGACAGAAGGAAAATATCATAATCCGTAGTAAAATGCACAAAGCATATGCTAAACTCGAGAGTGCGCTACCAGTGAACTCTGCAGTGTCAGTTACGGAGGTCACCCGAGCACAGCGTCTCGCAATACGCAAATGGCCTGGTTGTTCCCTTTCAGCTGGCCCTATGTTAAGTGGGTTGCAGGCTTATAACTTGTTTCTGTTCATTACTTACGCGTGTATGCAGCCCCCACAGGTGAAGCCAAACGCTGTAATGCTTAAGCGGTGTATCAGATGCCCGCTTCCTAAGACGTAGTGGGTCAGCACCGTAGCTCTCTTTCCAGATTTATCGACGACATGGCTCAGTGTATAAGGCTCGTCAACACACTGGCCAAGGAACCAAGAATGATTACTATTACTGTGATTTGTTATTCTCATCGGGTAGGAGCTCACTAATCCTAGAGGCCGGTATTAGCCGTGAGGGTTGAGGACGGACCACACCGTACGGCGAAAGGACGACGGGCAAATGGTGCCATTTGTGAACTGGCGCTGTTACTAATGATTGATAATCCTATAATTGCCTGCGGACTACGCTTATAGCGCTTCCAAAGTGTCCGTGATCGTTACTGACGTATCGCATACGCGCAATACAAATTCCTGTATGCTTCGTACCTAAGCCGCAGTCATATCCTGCCAAATAAGCGGATGCGTGTTTCAGTCTCCTTGATAGCTCTACACAGTTAGCCCCTTGGGGATCTTCCCCCGGATGGGGAGGCGTAGTCAGAGCCGAAGCCGTAGCCGAGACAGGCGCCACTCTAGCAGAGATCAAAGGTCTTATCGGAGCAGAAGTCGGGACCGGCGTGAAAGGTTGCGCGATCGGGACCGGCGCCCAAGCCGCAGCAGGGACCGGCGCGATAGGGATCGGTAAGCTCAGACGCCATCGCATAGCAATGCCCAATACGTGGCCTCCGTCCACGTTTTTTGTGCATGTCTTTCTCCTGCCGTACACAAAGCCCAGCGGCCAGGGAGGTCTTCCCCCGTAAACCTTTGGCACGTCAGGCAACATGATTCACTCCCTTCCTTAACATGGAATCTTGAGCAGCTTTTCCGTCTCATTTTTCCCCAACCTCGTACTAAGGCGACGGAGCGGGTCACGTTCTGCAAGCCGGGACCGCAGCCGGCGCTCTCGTTCCCGAGACCGCAGCACTCGCGAGCGGGATAGAGATAGAAATCTTGACAGAGACCGAGATCGGCCCCGAGACAGAGACCGGGATCGGGATAGGGACAGTGAGCGTGAGCGGGATAGGGCACGGAGCGCACGGGATGGGGAGCTGAGCGGCAGTGGTCAAGCTGCGCAGACCTCTTCGGCATCACAGCCGCTACCACCACCACCACCACTACAGCAGCAGCAGCAGCAGGGCGGGGGCGCCGAAGCAGACAGGCTTGCTCGGCTTGCGGCCTGGAAAGCACGTCAGGCAGCAGTAACAGATGCAACTAACGCAACGACGGCCCAAGCTGCCGTCCCAGCAGCACCGGTTGACGCACCCACAGTTGCTTCAGACCCACCTGCTGCGCCTGAAACCAAGGTATGGATGCCCTGGGAGGACCCCGCGGCCCTTGCGGCCGAAGGTGCTGCACCGTCGACGGACGGCGGCAGCGGTGGCGGCGGCACCACCGCTGCTGCTCCTGTCACATCAGTCCCCGCGGCCCGCTCAGCGGCTGGGCTAGGTGGCGACGACGAGGACGAGGACGACCCGGCGGCGGCGGTGGCTGCCGCGCAGGCTCGCGAAGCCGCCATTCGAGAGCGCATGCGTCATGATCCCAACTACGTGCCACCCAATGTGGCGGCCAAACGTGCCAAGGACATGGCGGATGACCTCGCCCGCCAGCTTGCTGACGGTGACGAAGAGGACCCCCTGGAGGCCTTCATGGCGGCAGCAGTGATGCCGGAGGTGAAGCAGCTGCAGGCAGAGGAGGAGGCGCGGCGGCAGGAGCAGCGACGCAAGCTGGCGGAGCAGCTGGCGGCTGGGAAAGGTGGGTGTGAGGTTTGTTATTGAAGGAGCGAGGTAGTGAGCGACGAGATAGGGAAGACATTCGGGTGCTGGTCGGCGTCAGGGTCTGAGTTGAGCGCTCAGAAGACGCGGCGGTTGGGGATGTGGTACTGCGCCTGTCGCGGGCTTCCGGACAGAGTAGGAGGTCCACCTGCTTTAAAGTTGACCTTATGAAAAGGTGGCAATTGGCTGTGGACGAATGGATGGCGGGTCAGGCTGAATCACGGTGCAAACCTGCTCAACCAAGCACTCCAAACAATTGGATGTCCATTGCTATATGCCAGCTTGGCGGAGGCACAGACGTCTGTCATGCGAAAGGGCAGGAGGGTACGACGGCTTGCCGGAATCCCTTGAAGGAAATACTGTTGGGGGTTGTACGGGGACCCCAACGCCGGCCTAGGTCGTCTGTAGTCCGTAGTCGTGGCTATCTGCGCAGGGGCATGAATGGCGAGGTGGGGTCTTCCTGTACGCTGCGCTTTACAGTTGGCGCCTCACATTCGTCCCCCGGGCGATCCCGATTAGCCAACTGAGGCCCGTGTGCTAGTGTGTTACTACCGGCCTGCACAGCAGCCCCCTGGGTGGCACAAACAGGTGTCTTTACATGGTGCGCAATCCCATCCTACCCGCACCCGCTCCCGCCCCCGGCCGCAGCTCCTCCGCCCCTGAAGGTTCTGGAGGAGTCGGACGACGACGACCCGGACGCCAACCCCGACATGGAGCTTCAGATTCCTGCCAACAAGGTCAAACTGATGATTGGGCCCGGGGGCGAGAAGATTAAGGAGATCCAGAAGAAATCCAAGTGCCGCATTCAGGTAGCTGCTGTGGTCGGTGTCCCGGGGAAGTTGTCGTCGGGCTATCCGGGGTATCTGGGAGGGGGGTCAGGCTCAGAGTGGAGGCGGTGTGGCGCTGCAGCGCCTCGTGCGCTGAGGTACTCGGTTGTGGGTATACTAGAGGGCGCCTGCAGGTGGACAATGGGCCCATTAGATTCTTTGCAGGTTGGCGGGGAGCGACGGCCGCATTTTGACGGTTGTCCGAAAATTAGTTAACTTCGTGCGGAAAGGCCGAGCGGTATTCGGGCGGGCTGCAGCGGGCGGAATAACCCGGGGCAACGGAGGAGAATGTCCCTTTGAGGCTCATTTTGAGGGGTCCACAGAGGCGTGTTGGCAGCTGTGGAGAGGCCTGGGGGGTTGCCTTTCTTCTAGGCACCTTCCGTTGTGGGTTGGTTTCATGCAATCGCGCCTTGCCATTCTGCTGGCTTTGACCACAGTGCTACCTTGTCGGGTCTGTACCATAGGTCAAGAAGGACGAGAAGGAGCTCAATCGGGGTTTCGGAGCTGGCTTTAAGCTGGACGTGGAAGACCTAATGCAGATGGGTAGGTGGCGGCTGCATGAAGGTGGGGCCTGGACGTTTTAGGCCTAGGGAAGAGCAAGCAGATCTTAGGTGACGGGTCAGGGCATTGCCGACCGCAACCTTTTCGATGGCATCCTATTGTGTACATGTTTCGCACTTGTGGCAAATTTTGGTTCAGGCAGGTGGGCAGGTGACGCGCGATGTCTGGCTAGCATTTGCCTGCCGGCCTTAAGAAGGGATATTTGGGTTTATCTGTCGGCCTACATGTTGGGAAATCTCTTTTACTTGTTGCAGGTGAGAAGAAGCTGGCCACCATCATGCTATTTGGTGACCAGAAGGCAGTGGAGATGGCTGAGCGCATGATCATGGAGGCCATAGAAAACAAAGAGCAGAAGCAAAAGAACCGGCAGAAAGAGTACGAACGTAAGCGCGAGGCCAAGCGACGGGAGCGTATGCTCTACCACCTGCGGCATGCCAAGGTGGGTGGCGACCTTGCTTGGATTTGGTGACGACGTCGGGTTTAGGCCGCACGCTTGCGCCCTCAATCCCAATCGGGTGTCAGGGTTCTAGCATTCGTTGCCCCCACATGTGCAAGTCATTTGCTTTCCGCGGTCAGCGTAATCCTCACGACTTCCCACAAGGAAGGCGTCGCGATTGTGCCAATCTGAGAATTTCAGGCTATGACATGGCAGCGTGCGTTGTGCGACGCCGCCGGGCTCAGCAGGTGGGCAGTAGCCCGGTTTGTTCCGTTTCACCTTTTGTATGCGATAACTTTTGGCAACCACTGTCCACTTTCATCGTTCCTCGGCCGGCAGGACTACGAGCTGCTTGAGCTCCCGCTGGGTGCCTCCAAATTGGACGTCAAGAAGGCTTATCGCCGGCTGGCCATGCAGTGGCACCCCGACAAGCACCCTAACAACCAAGAGGAGGCTAAGGCCAAGTTCCAGGAGATACAGAAGGCGTACGACAGCTTGATGAGCACCAGCGAGGACGACATCATTGAGCAGTTGGCGGATAAGGCCGAGGGAGCCGCGTGAGGTGGTGGTGGGGTAATAACCGGGTCGCGACATGCAGGCTCTTTATCTAAGGATTGACCCGTGCAAATCATTCCATTCACACCGGACTCCGTACCTCGTGGATGTGCATACTAATTCCGGAGCTTATTGCAGCTTGAATTTTTTTGAAACATTTTGATGGTCTATGCGCCACATTTGTTTAACGATGCGTGCACTCCTCCAAGAGCGCGACACACGCTTGTGGGCCCAGTGTGCCGTTTGTGTCCGCGGACGCTAGCCAACAGTTGAACATCATCCCTGGCAAACCTCATGCCGTGGCCACCCTACCGCATACCATACTGTCTGCAAGAGGAACGAAATGCTGGTTTATATATTTGCAGCTTAAGCGGGCTCACGCAAATCAAATGGTCAGCGGGATTTCCCCTGTGTCCCCTATACGAGGCCCTTAAAAGCTGCAAACCATTCAACAAATAATGGCTTTGGGAAGCCAGACGGCTTCAGATACCTATCACATATTAAATCCTTTCGTGTAATCGTAATTTGACCTCGTTCGTACACGAAACGTGCACTCCTGCAGATGGGAAAAACTGGGGCCCCACAGGCCTCGTATCATAGCAAGAAACACTGCCAACGGCATCACAACTGAGTCTTTATGTAACCGCAGCAAACACGCCCAGCATACATCAGTCCGTGATGGCAAACACCAATGGCGCGCACGTAAACAAGCTGGAAATGCCTAAACAGCTACTACTTGGGCACTGACAACAATCGGCGTAGGGTATTTCGTTTGGTGAAGTAAGATGTGACCGCTAATGGGGCTTGGGTTTGTGACCATCCACGTAGAAGTTCCGTGACGCGGCCGGAATGCGAACCCGTGCGCCGTCCAAGCTTTTGGTAACAATTACTTGGCAACCCAAGCGGGAGCTGCACGGCAAGCCGGAGAAATGAGGGGGAAACGGGGTGTGGGTGTCAACACGGGGAAACGAGTGTGTCGTGCCGGACCTTTCTGCAAGAACGGAGTGCATTTTAGCATGGCGGAAAATATAGCAGGACGGAAAATATGTGAGCAGGGAAATCTATCCAATCTAGGAGAAGCATGGCGCCAGCGTTCCCCAATAAAGCACGAACCGCGTGTTGTACAGGGCCATGTTGAGGGGTGATGGGCACCGAACTGCTGTCCCAAGGCTTGGCTCGTTTTTAGCTGTTTTTGGCTCTTCTTAGCACCTGCAGCTGGGAAACCCCCTCAAAACTACGTTGCCCGTCCTCTCTCACTGAACCCGGATTTTGCTCACGTGTCTGTGAGGCCGAAAGCGAGGTCTAGCATATCCAACTCGTCCTCAGTGGCTTCCGGCACCTTCTTGTAGAAGTCCTCGTCCTTTGTAAATGGGACGACAGCGTTTTTTCCACACCACTAATGCAAAGGTCATGATACGGCACGGCCGCACGTGGACGGCGTCTGGTTGCCATGCCGCACGCAATCCATGCAGACGTGAAGGCAGCAGACTTCTAGTTTGGCACGCAAAGGTCCTTCTCAGTGTAACCACGTATGTGCCGGACATGTGCACAGGTGCGGGCACTTACCTCGAAGATTAAGTGGCACGTGGAACATGCTAGGGAGCCCTCACAGGCACCTGGAAGCGGGAAATTACACAAGAGGCGTGTCAGTTGCTCGCCCGCCTGACATCACAGGCTGCTGGACCGGTCAACTAAGCCCAAGCTGGTTCACCCCACCGGTCTATCATCAACGGCCTCACACGACATCACACAGCCGTTCCGCACCTTCCAGGTCAATTTCGTTGTCATGTGCCACCTCCAACAAGTTTTTGCCAAGTGGAGCAGCAACTGTGTGTTCCTTGCCTTCTTTGTCGACGTATGTTATTTGGACCCTGAACATTCGCCTTTTCCTGGGTTTGCCATCGGGAACTATCTTTTGCAGGCAGCAGTCTCCGGCGCAAACTTACGTTTCTTGATCTTCAGCAGGGGAATCAGATTGATGTAAAGTGGCATTTCTCGTATGAAACAGGGATGTCCTCAGGGTAAAGGTGGGCGATGCGAAGCCTTTACTGCACGCGCTGGCTGCAAGTCCACGGGCCCGCAAGATATCAGCACAAAGGCGAAGCATGTTTTACAAAATTTGGTTCGAAGGGTGCCTCTGAGATGGATTTGGGGTCGACTGGGAACAATTTTTATGCAACTATCTACCCGATACCACAATGCCTGCTAGCAAAAATACATGATTCTTGACGGCTTATGTGTAAGCGCCAAACTGCAGGGTCCCACGTGCTGGAAGGCCGCATCAGCAAATCACCTAAGCATAGGACCTGGCCCCGCATTTGCAGCTCGCGATTTGTCACCTTTGCGCTTGTCGTGTTATTTTTAGCTATGCAAACCTGACGTTTCGCAACAACTCTTGTTGCTTTATTTGAAAGAAAAGTTTTTTGACTCATACACAACAGCTCCCGCAAGAAGAGCTTTATAAGGGGCCCTGTCATTGTTTTGCTTCTAGTGCAGTGCAATTTGTTACAATGAGTTACACCGTTCATAGGCCATCAATCCTACATCGTCGGCAGCGCACAGAACCTAGTCGCGCAAATGAGGAGTCTTTGGAGGCACAATATCAGAGGGAGCAGGCACTGCTGAAGGCTAAGCAAGAGCGACAGCAAGAAACACATCAGCGTCTCCTTCGGTCCTTGAACCCGCAGGTAGAGTCCTGGCGTGTGCATCTGAGAGCAAGCCACATCTTCGGCAGTCCTGCAGGGACATTGCATTACAACCTGCTCGCGTATGCAGCCCGGGGATAAAGCGGCTGTCTGGGAGGAGCTGGTTGCGAGCAACGCAACCCTTGCAAGCAGGTAGGTAGGAGTAACTAGGCGGTCCGCGGCAGGTGATGAGGGCACTACATCCAACACCGTATATTTACGCCGAATCCCACCAGGAGCCCGAAGCTTCCGGAGCAGGAGGTCTCGGCAGTCCAGGTACCAGCTAGCAACGGGTTGCCGGATGGGGCGAGACCGTGGCACCATTCTATGGCAACCCAACATTACTCTCTGGCGGAGGAGGAGGCCGCTCGGCGTCGTTTTGCAGCTGAAGTGGCTGCAGGCGAGTGCTTTTCCCCAGACAGCACTTGCCCGCCTGAGATCCATATATGCCACCTACCACGAAATTCACGCCACAGCCCACCTTCAATGAAGTGCCCATTCTCAAGTCTTGTGGGGGATAGTGGGTTTCTTGATTAGTGCGTCTCAGTGTGATGCATGGCGCCTGCATCCTTGCCACAGAAAACCAGCGGCTGGCCAGGGAGAGGGAGATGCTGAAGTTGTTGGAGGAGAATGCCAGGCGTCAGCCCGTCATACAGGTAACGCTTTGAGGAAAGCTCGAAGATGTGTCTTTGTGTACGGTGTTTCTAGAAAAATGTTTGCCTGATCAAACCCTGCGCGAAAAAGTTGCAGACTTCTTTCCAGCGCGGCTTCAGACACTATTGTCATAACCAGCATTGGTCCTGAATCGATGCGTGGTGTTGCTCTCACAGGACTCCTGGTACAGCCGTGGAGACACGCACCGCCCGTCCCAGCCTCTGTTCAGCAGCGGTGGCGCATCCATTGCTGCGTCCATTCCACCAACACCAATTATGATGTCACACCGGCCATCATCCGTGTGCCCTTGGGCACCCACCGACGCGCAGGTGAGACTACACATAGCACATGTTCTGTAGATAGTCAACGCCTCGCAGTCATTTTTATTACGATGCCTGCTGGTTAAACCTTCATTACAGGCTGTGGTCCGAGAGCAGCCGTCGCAGTGGCAGCCAAAGGCGTCTGATAAACAGTACCCGTGGACATGGCAGTAACTCCTTACTTCGGCTGTACTCGGCGCCTTATGGTGTAAACAACACAATTCCACCTGACTTCAACACAACGTTGACGCGCCATGGTGACACATGAACATGAACCAAATGGCGTCACTGTCATCTCATCGTGGTGAAGCACCGTACCCTTCTCAGTCTCCATAGAGGCAGTCACATCCCGGTCGTGTCTGCCAATGCACGACACCCTGACCAGATGCCCAGTCATGGCACGAATATGAGTTAGTTTGTCCATCCCGCGACGGTCGGGTAGTAGTTATCAGCTAGTTGTTGGCTTTGGTGGAGCCCAGATGCTTACTGCGCCATAGCCCTCTTTCTCGTCTCCTGCGAAGGCAAGCACTGGTGCAGATGGGCACCAGGCCACCGTTTCACAGTAGCTCTTCAAGTTCAGCGTACTGGCGACATCACCTGTGGGAAGCCAACCACACGTAACAACACATGTATGTAACATCTAGCATGGGGAATGCCGAGCGACGGCATGCGATACAGAGAAAAAGCAATGTACCATGGTACGTTATCGTATCCAGATTGGCAACCCAGATTGCCAACGGCGTTGAGGCTTACGTAGCGCCATGCATATTGCAGCATGTCGGTTAAAACCGTGTGCAAAGTCGCACGCACCTGTCAGCGTGCTCACGATGTCGATGGTCCCATACCCGTCTTCACTGCAATATGCCAGCCAGTTGTTGTTATGGCTGAAGCTCAACGTCCGGACCGACTGGTCGGGCCTGCTGTAAGTGCGCAGGCAAGTCATCTCCTCCATATGCCAGAGACTGACGAGCGCGTCAGAACCCCCAGATGCCAGGTACCTGTGAGCAGCGTGCGAATAACGTTAGGTGTAACAGGACGCGATTTCCCAGCCTCTTTGATCCGGCAGATTCCACTGCATGCTGGTGGTGGTGGGTGCTGAACCCCAAAGTTACTGAGTCCGCAGAAGTTGGCACACATGGGTAGGGCACCGAAAGCATCAGGGGGGTTAGGGACTCGTAGGGACTCCCAAGCTGGCTTCACACTATCACATATATTGCACGGAACGGCTATGTTCAGCACAGGGGCTCCCGATCTCTCTGTCTGGTGATTGTTCCTCGAAAACGTTCTTCCCTGCTCAGCTTATAAAGGATCCAAACCTGGCAACATATCACAGCAGCTCTCACTTGTAGTCACGCGAATACGCCAGGCACGTTGTATGACTGGCATGGGAGTTGAGACGCCAGATGGGACTGTCCAACTTGGCTAGGGGCGCAATGCGCACGGTGCCATCGTCAAGCGCCATTGTAAGGAGGTTTTGTGTGGGACCCCAGCGCACCTCGGACAACTGCAATAGTGTTTGTTAAAAGGGCGCTGCAGGTTTCCTTAACCGACAGGTAAAGCAATGCGACTTAATGGCATGCGGCTTAACAGGATTCAAAAAAAAAGTAGTTCCCTGGGCGCTTGACGCTGAATTGCCATTGCTTTAACATCACCAGGGCTTCAGGTGCCATCCGCAAGACATTATTGGTGGAACGGCCACGCACCTTCGTATGTCCAGAAAGCCCCCACTGCCGCGACCTCCGCATTTTGCGCGTGTCCACAAACACGACCTCGTCGTTTGAGCACGTAATGACCACCGATAAGCCGTCCAGTGACCACGACAACACCAAGTTCTTCTCGTTCCCGAGCTGCACAGCGGCTGTCTGCTTGTTCGTCCTTGCGTCATGAAACCTGCACGGGAATACCGGCAGCCTCAAGTCCACAGCCCGTGGGCGTGTCTGCGGCCCTATTTGCCCGTCCGTGGGCGCCTAACGTTTGTTTGTTACAGTGTACCCGTGCGCTACTCGTGATTCCACCGCGTCTCCAAAGCGACTCGGGTTGGAACCGCCCGACTGCCGCTTTCGTTAGACGTCCTGTAATAACCCGACAAGGCCTCGCACACCGTATGTTGGTGTCATTCTTGCTGTTTGAGCAGCTAGCCAGCACGTCGGGGTGGTCCGGCCGCCACTCCAGGCTGCTTATGGCATCATTATGCGAGTTGTACTCGGCGTCTGAACGTTCCGGTTTAGCCACAGGCCCGTAGTGCTCCACAGTCCACACGCGTATCATACGATCGCCTGAGCCTGGAGACCAATCAACACATAATGAGGAACGGGAAGCAGCGACGGCTTAGGAATGTGCCAGCGGGAAAAGGGGGATCTACCCGGGGAATGGTGCAGTCGTCTCCTCGCAGGAAATACCATACCTGGACATCTTTGTGATGATGATCCTGGGGACCCTCGGGTAACCCACGATATCCATCTACGCCCGTGTTGCTGGTCGGGGGGGACATGGCCGCCCTCCCCTTTACCCGTCCGCCCACCCGTCATTCCCATTCTCGCGTCACCAGCCGGTCCGAAGCTAAGCCTCAAAGCCCCAACCCCTAACCCAATACCCACCGCTTGCAAGCCGTCGTCCATCGCAGTTCCATGCAACCGTGTTGACCTAAAACAAGGCAGAGGGAATAGTGGGATTAACGGAGGCAAGGCGGATTCCGTGCATCGCAGAGTCAACTTCCCTGTGCACCCTGGCCACCACCACTGACCTTCTTCCTGTGTCCACTCAAATCGCGCAATCCGTAACCTTCAAAGGCCGGGTTTTGCGTATGTATTGTGGCACCACGCTCCCTGTCTTGAAGACGACCGTAGTCTGCCATATCAAATTATTTGTCAGGCAAATGCATCAAGCAAGACAGATCCAGTCAAGCGATGCCACCGTCGACGGCTACAACAAGGATAGTTATCAATCAGCAAGACCCCTATTAGACATCAAGACCGTTATTAGTTTTTATGGGATCTAATTCACTTCGCTTCAATATAATCAAGTCCCGTTGTTGCGGTCTCTTTGAAGTATCAATACTGATTCACTCGGCTTTTCGTCACCGTATTATGAGTAAGCTTTGTCAGTCTCGCCACTTGAAGGTGCTCGCCACTTGAAGGTGCTCGCCATGTGATTGAGAACCAAATACATGTGTACGGCATACCTAAAAATGCGTCAGCTTGGTTGGTGGCCCTGAAACCAGCAATTAAGCCCCAAGAGATGAAGACTGGTATACCAAAACATTCAACCTTACGTCCTCCATCTGGGAGTTTGGATCGCAGACTACTTCGTAGCACCTTTCCGGCCCGCGTTCACGCGACTGTTTCACCAGCGACCGTCGCCATGCCAGCTATATCCAATGAGTTTGGTCTTGTGGCTGGCGTTGTTGCAGCTTCGTGGATGGTGTAAGTCTGTGTGACGTGTATCGAAGTACCCAAAGCCGACTGATGACGCTGACATGAAATTGCCCGCTCGTGGTGCTCAGGCATCATGGCTACATGGCTGTGAAAGTGATGCAAGCAAGGAAAAAGTGAGGCAGATTGTAAGCTGTGGTCTGGATCGTACGGGATCACAGTGAGGTTATTTACCGCTTCGGTATTGCATGTGAACTACAGGTATAACGTTACATACCCAGCGCTGTATGCAACGTCGGAGAATTGCGCGAACGCAGAGTAAGTACGCCTTGACGCGTATATGTATGTCCGGACGTGTAGCGATAACTGTTTGTTTCCCGCACCTCGCAGCAACCTTGTAGCACTGTCAGCACCTTTGCCTTGTAAATTGTAACTACTTGAATCGTCTCTCTCTTTCAGGCACCGTAAGGCGTTCAATTGCGTTCAGCGCGGCCACCAGAATTCTCTGGAGAACCAGCCCATTTTCTTGGCTTTGCTTGTCACTGCGGGCCTTAAGGTAACTAATAAGCTCAGAGGGGTATCGTATGGGGGGTGAACTAAGGGAGACGAGGGAGTGTCCCAGACGAGACATGGGTCGTATGCTGACGGTACCTTCTTCCCGACTCGCAGCACCCAATCACTGCTGCTGCGGCCGGAGTCATCTACTTGGTGGGACGCGTTATGTACATGCAGGTAGGGCTTTCGCAAGGGAGAAGCCAGGGTATTCGCGTTATCATACCCAGCACTTTTGTTATTACCGGTAAAACGATGGTGGTAGAGTTGTGAAATGCGGCCACAAGCCACCGCTGCTGTTGTACCAACACGTAGGCAGTGCGGAGCATTCGGTCGCTGCCGTTGTTTGTGTGATTGGCATCACCATGTGTCTGGGTGAACGGATCAGGTGGGGTCCTGTGCAAGCAGGACCAGCCGAACCCAGTAGCCCCCGTGGGCATGGCAAGTGTAGACTATATGATGGTCGTGACGCTGGGGCGTCGACAGCAATGGTAACCAGCACTTAGGTAACCAACACACACGCACACGCACGCACAGACGACGGTTAGTGACCATCGCTAGCACTGCACCCGACACAGTAAATACTTCAGTGACGACGAAGCCTGACACCCTAACACTATACATTGTCTCGACTGCGCCGTAGGGTTACTCCACTGGCGACCCGGATAAGCGTATGCGTGGCAGTCTGCTTTACGCGGGTCTGTTCACACTAATCGGTATTGTGTGCAAGTGGGGAGTACAGAGTGCGCTGGCACTGCTGCCAAAGTAATGTGCCAGTTTTTCGGTGCATTGCTGTTGGCATGTGTCGAAGCAAGTGCTAATTAGTTGGATAAACATATTGGATTATTTTGGGCTGCTGGATGTTGTGACAACGAGGATGCCGGGTCAGTAGTGGAACATGCGTTGGTGTGGAGCCAGCGATGAAGGTTGATGGTTGTGTTAAAAGCTAGAATGTATCTAACTAACTAACTTACCAGGCAATTGTAATTCCTACGTTGCGGTCTTCTCAAGTGAATTGAGGGTGCAGCCACTGAATGCTGCTGATAAACGAAAGCGGCAGCTTATAGGGGGCAGGGTTGGCAGACGCAGCGGTTCGGACTTCCCGCCACTGCCATATTTGTTTATGTGCTAACCTAGTTTGAGAGTAGGTCCCGAGCCCCTCTCTCTCGGCTACTGTTACCACGTCAAAAGGAGCACAGCGCAACCAAACTGGGCAAAGAAATGCTGCCTGATCAGCGACACTCTACACATTTTCTCCTGCACTCTCGCCATCGGCTCTCACGCTGTTACTCAGCCTAACAGCAACAACATAGATAACAAGTTGGAAATCAAAAAATTACCAAAAATCACGTCAGTCAAAGGAACCATTTTGGTTCATCCATGAGCCAACACGTTATATGTACACAGCAACAGCCAGCAATGAATGACGTATGAAAAATTTCACAAAACTGCCGCGTTGGCGGGCATGGTAAAATAAGTCAGGTATTGTAATCATATATCACTCCCTGCAGGTCCCTGTATAAGGTTGCACATCAGGGGAGCCCTGCATTCTCCCCTCTTGCACAATCCTGCACCATCCGCACACAGTTTTTAGGGAGTGTTTCCACATAGGATTAAGGTCGCGGATTAACCCTCTGCCCACCAGCTCTCCATTAATACCTGTTGCGCAAACGGCTAAGTTGTTGGCAAACTTACCCCGTCTTCACAACCATGTGGAGCGAAACTACGTTTCAAGCTCCTACCAAGGACTTCCGTGCCCTAATCCGTGACGTTAACATTAAGTGGACCCCCCCCTACCTCAGGCCCCTGCTTCCCTGCATTGTAAACGGATCGCGTCCGATTCTGTACATTTTCGCAATAATTCCTATACGTGTATGAATCTCCTATATGATGCCATGCCATGTCCTGCCTGCGTATTAGTCATAGGGTGGTTACGATATATCCACGTCGTACTATTCTCTTAGGACAGCTTTCCTAGTTGCACCTGCCTTGGCACCTCACGCCCATCCCCAACGTCATGTCGCTCCTGGGCACCATGACTTGATGGGTTTCAGGACGTTGAGACGGAACAGGGTTGCGGACAAGTAGTTCCCTGCGTCGCAATACAAGGCGAAAACGTCAGCAGCCGAGATGGAGGAGGCCGACCGCGGGCCGGCCGCCGCCACCTATCCCGCCTTCACGCACCTACGCTCCCTAACGACCCACCTGGCGGCGAGTAATGGCACGTGACAACGCCACATCCGTCACACTGACCGCTGAATCCGGAGACTGATTTACAGGTCCTATAGCCGCAGCCAACCATCTGTGTATCCTTCCATACGACCTGTGGGTATTGAGGGGCCCGAAATTGTGGCTATAATGCAATGACCGCTGGTACCGGAACTTGGCGGCGCATCGCCGCCTACCCATCTATATATACGCGAGTCAGCGGCGCAGTCAGCCAGGGCGGCCACGGCAAGACCAGGGTGCAAGCTGTACCTCATTTGCTCGCTCATTTGCTCTCCGATTGACAGCGGAAGTTTTGGAAGAGAGTGAACACTTCAATGCCCCAAATGCATGCCTAAGCATGCAGTTAAGTGCTACCGACAACTCTAAGCAACGCCATGCCAGTGGGTGCCTTGGGGCTCACCACTTACCTGAGTATAGTGGCCGGTCGTTTCGTTGAAGCCTGGCGCGTCAAAGTCATACCAGCACATCTCGATTGTCCATAAACTCATGCCGTACAGGATTTCACCCATGGTGTTGAACGTACCCAGAACTGGTACGGGTGTGTTGGGAACAGTTTGGGGCACACGGGAGCCACACTGGGTCCCTGACATGTACAAAGTACATACCAAACCCGGACTTTGGCGATTAGATTGCCCCACTGCCGCTGTGACGATGTATCATCCAATCATGATTTGGGCAAGGCTTACACTGGGAATCATGTGAGTTTGCTACAAGGCAGTCCAATGTGCACAGACACTCTTGCTGCGGCATCGTGCAAGGGGGGCCAGCAGCAACATCTCCGTGCGAGCTACGGGAACAACGACACGGCGGTGAGGTCTCACCAAGGTTTTCGCCGTACTGGCCATACGAGTGCTCAAAAATGCACTTGTCACTCCAATTTTGAGCTGACGCAGCCAACTCGTCACTCCATGTCAGGTTAGGCACTCCACTCCATAAACGGTACTTGTTATGGGCTTCGACTGCAAAGGTTAAGCGAGCCGATAAGTCCGCCAGGCTAGGACATGTTTTTAAAGCTGTTCTTCCGGGAATGGGTACATTCCAGGTCCGAACCTGGAATTAAGCACATCCCCCATAAAACGCATTGCTTAAAGACATGCCACGACCGTTCATCAGTACTTACGGATTGCACCCGGCTTTAGCATTGGCAAGTAACTGTACGGCTGTAGCCTGGGCGATGGTGGTGTTGAACGTGATGGCGGAGGGACGGGACTGGGCGACGCCTTCTGTGGTGGTGGTAGCTTGCTGGATGGCTGGGGTGCGGGCGGTTTGGGTGGCGATTGCATGGATGGTAGAGGCTTCGGTGGTGATGGAGGCTTGGGCGGGGGAGGGGGATTCGGTGGTGACGGGGGCTTGGGCGGGGGAGGGGGATTCGGTGGCGACGGGGGCTTGGGCGGGGGAGGGGGATTCGGTGGTGACGGGGGCTTGGGCGGGGGAGGGGGATTCGGTGGTGACGGGGGCTTGGGCGGGGGAGGGGGATTCGGTGGTGACGGGGGCTTTGGGGATGATGGAGGCTTGTAGGGGGAAGGAGGCCTAGGATGCGGTGGGGGCTGCGCGGGTGGCGGTTTCCTAGGCTTACGTGAGGCCGGTGGTTGTGGCGAAGGCGGCGACAACGGAGGAGGCGGTGGCGGCAGTGAAGGGGGAGGAGGTGGCGGAGAATTAGGGGGTTCACGGATTTCAGGTGTCGACATCACTGAATCAGGCTGCAAAAGGTCCGGGCCAGGCGGTGGCTTCCGCCTTCTGCGTAGCAGGGAAGCGTCTGGCGCACTCGCAACTTGCGAGGCATTGTCCATAGTGCTATATGCCTCTGCGAGTAACATCCGTGCCCCAGAGTTCCCTGCTAGTTCGATACGCTGCTGCGCCTCGGCAGCCGTTGGCAACCACCTGTACGAGACGCCAGCATGATCACAGTGCGCAGTATTCGCTTACGATTAGGAAACCCGATCTGGAGATTCTTAGGGCTTGCAACACCGGCGCAGATATAATTACCCGCCAGGATAAAAGGCGCACACGCCCTTACCGTGCTGCTGACGTGCGCGCAGTGCGACCGAGCTCAAATAGCAGTATCACTGCAACCAGAGCTGTGTATGAGCCGGAAGTTTATATGTGTGCTATATACATTTTGCTTGTGAAATCCTGGGAAAACAGAGAGCTTACCAGCCAGCAACGAGATAGCCCTGCACAGCATTGCTGTTAGAGGATTCTTTGTCGCGAGTATTTTTGTTAACGTATGTTGTAATATTACAACACTTATTAAATGCAAGGTGTGAACGTAGATATTTCCGTTAAGAGCCCGGTACCTGTCAATTGGACGTGAATAGCTCAGCACCGCGTAAAGTTCTATGTACGCAGCATAAAGCACATATTTACAGTCGCAGGTTCTGTACATCAACAATTATTGTTCATATGCAATCTCGAGGGGGCAGACAAGGTATAAGTACGTATCTTAATGCGGACCATTGGCAATGTTTTTTTTATCTACGAATTGAAATGGTAGCTAGGATTCTGCTAAAGTTTGACAGAACCAGAATCCATTACGGTATAAGCTGTACGCGATCTGGGAAAGGGGGTGCTTTCAAACTCTTGTGCGACGATGGGCATTATCATTACATAATTGCATGTTGGATTATTAGCAATACGTTTCTTATAATAATGTAGTGCGGCCCGTCGTTAGGCCCACCATGCGTGCATGGCTGCATGATTATAGTTTTGAAATTGCGGACGTGGTGCCTACACCTACTTCCCAGTAAAAGGAGATTAAAGAAGAGTTAAAAACCAGAACATCTTTCCCAACATTGTTTTAATCCTACTGCCCTTTTTGAGGCGCGCAGGCGCACGCATATCCATGACTACATATAGAGGTTGTACCTCTGGCCGCAGTCCGTTAGCACCTTCCAGCGTATTCTGGGCTTCAAAGCGCTCTTTCGAGCAAGGGGCCATGGGATGTCATTTCAGGAAGCAAGCTGTGCCAGAGGTCCTGCAGTGGACCGCCACCCGAATCCGGAGGCCGCAATGCATCCAGCTGGACGCCATTCGCGATGTAGGACCTTAACCAGGACTCTGAGCCCGCGAATTGTCACAACGCAGAAGCGTCTCCCCTGTCGCCAAACCAAATTCAATGAGAGCAAAAACGATGCGACAGGCGCGGTGCGCAAGTGTGCAAGCCAAGCCAGCAATGAATTCGCGTCACATAGAGGGTCCCGGAATGAAAATCCACTCCACGACGAACCAGGTCCGCCTTCAGCATCAAGCCCGACAGTACCAGGGCCCTGACTGCGGCATCGAAACCGGCCCCATGGACCTGAATGCCTAAACGTACTAAACTAGCTACGTGCATCATCGCGGGCAATGTGACAAGCTCTCACGTTAATTCGCGGGGGCCGCGCGTGTAAAAGGTAGTCCTGGGGGAGCAGCCGTGGTCCTGGGCTGCACTCCGCCCCGCTGAATTTACTGCGCGTTTCGTGGAATAACTCTTCACCATCCTTCTTCCTGCGTGTTTGTATTTCCTAGCTGACGTTTGCAACGCGTTAATGGATCATGGAGTGACGCAAAACCCACCTGTCCGTAGATAAGTGTATAACCATTCCGAGGCGCGCACACCTGCTGGGCAAGGTCGGCTTAATCCTTGTACACTGAAGTGTTCAATGACTGCTTAAAGAGAGTGCCTTACGATTGAGCTGAGCCCTCTTTCGCAGTTTCAGTACGGCATTCCCAGGCTGTAGGTAGGTAACGGATTTCCGCACCACCATGTGCTGGAATGAAATTCATTTCACGAAAACAACGATATTCATGACGATCACTTTATTTGTATCTCACAAGGAGTGTGCATGCATTGTTTAGTGATCTGGCAGATGCCTGATATCTTAATGCGGAGAAGCACTGCGCAAAATTGGCAAATCGTTCCTGGTATTACTGTAGGGGCTAACGCGCTTGTAGGATCAGGAGTTTCATGTCCTTGTAGGTAGCGATTATGGTGGCAAGCAGAATATATTTTTGTAACGAAAGTAGGGATGTTTGTTATCATATTACTGATTGTTACTCTAAATGCGGCTGGCAGCGGCGATGCTACGGTGGTCTCAAAGGCAGCTGCGGGCCTTGACGTGATTGAGCGACGCCTGAGAAACCTTGAAAGTAGTACTGAGGAATTCTCGCAAGGATCGCTAACTGAATTGAGTTACAATCACATCGTGCCGAAGGTGGGCGGTGTAGATGCCTCACTACAACAACCTCGAGGTCGCACGCTAGCTGCGAAACGCAAGCGACCGTTTCATCCAAATCGGCCGAGCGCATACGTTAGCCTTGGGAAGGTACGTCCCTTCACCGGCGACGTGCAACCCCCGGCAGCTCTTACGTCAGCGCTGGAGGCTCGCTCGTTCAGGCGCGAGTTGATCCTCATCACCGACACGCGCCCGCGGGCCGCCGTGCAATTGCACGACAACTTGGCCCAGCTCGGCCTTGCACACATCCTGTGGTTGACAAACTCGCGGGCGTTTTGCGCGGCAGCAGATGTGCTCTTGCTTGCACGGGCGAAATTGCATGGTCAGCAGCCCGGCGCCTTCGCAGACGCCACCCTTGCCCACCGAGCTCTAAAGTCTGCGTCAGTGCCGTACACTTCCATGGCCCAGGACTGGGAGGGGCAGCTATCCTTGTCCCGGCAGGCTCGGGAGTTGCGTAATGCACAGGCACTTCCCGCCCTGAATGTGTCAGCTGCCATGGCTGCGCTCGCGGCAGCTAGTGACGCCGCGGCCAGCGGGCGGCGCAACATCATCAGCAGCGCCGCGGGTGCCGGCCTTGCTGCGGCCGCATCATCCTCATCCTCATCCTCATCTGCTGACCTGGGTTGCGTCTGGTACAACGAAACCTTTCCAGACGTGTTCGGCGGTCACCGGCGACTCATGACTAAGCGACTTATGCTGTTGGCTCGTACTGTGCGCCACGGCTACAACGTGCTTTCCCTGGACACGGACGTCATCGCGTTCCGTGAGCCGTACAGTTTTTTTAAGACCCCACCGTACAGCTCCGCGCACATGGTAGTGGGCAAGAGTGTTCGCGGAGGCAGTATCGTCAACACTGGAGTCATGTACTTTCAAAACGTGTCACGCAATGGACCGGTAGCGTGGCTGCTGTCCGAGGCAGTGGAGCGCAATCTCAGGTGGCTGGACATGCCGCCGCCACCACCGGCGCCGAACTCGACTGAGAACTCAGCAACAGCAGCTTTAACACCGGATAAGTCCTCCTCGGCCGCCCACCAGCTGATGACGCCGCACGACGCGTCCCGAAGAGGCTGCTGGGATCAGTTTCTGTTTGGCGATGCTGTGCTTACAAGCATCACCGGCAAGATGTCACTGTACTACTGTGCGCGACCCGCGGACCGGTACGGCAGACCCTTGCTTCGACGCAGTGACGACGATAGCGGCGGATGGAACATGCGTCACCGTACGGCACTGGGACTGGCGGACAGACAAGGTCCCTCAGAGCTTCTGGGGGTGGGTAGGGGTTCCGGGATGGTTAGGTGCATCCCGGTTTGGGCTGTGGTTTGATCGCATGCTGCTGCTGCTACCGGTGCTGAGGTAGCGGCAGCGGCGGCAGCGGGGTGCTAGGGCGGGATTTATTTGCATTATGGACAGGGCAAAAGGGTGCAACAGCCTTGATCGATAGTCGGGAGGCGAAAGCTGTTCCATCAGGACGTTGGGTTCCAGCGAGCCGTTCGATGGCCAGTGACAAGTCTCGCCCAGGTTATCAACCTTTGCATCACACCTGGTTGGGGAGGTATGGGCGTCATGCGCTGCTGGGCAAGAGCCAACGCAATGACTCTGTGTTCCTTGACACTGAGCACCACTTGGCGCTTTCCCGGGGAGCGCCGCACAAAGTGTGTGAAGGTGCACTGGGTGCCAGATAGGTTCTCTTGTCCTGGCCCTCGTGCATATCGTTCTGGCCCCCGGGAGGGGTGCGAATGCATACTCGCGCGCTGACCACAGCAGGATTGCCTTGTAGTCGTAAGTACGGCATAGGTGGTCCCTGTGTTGTACTGTTGCGTGTTTTTGTCTATCGACGACTGCACCCAAACCCTTATCTGGCTGTCGAAACACCGGTCCTTTCCCTTCCCCCTCCCGCCCCCTCCCGTCTCGGGGCCTTGTCTGTCATCTCCAACTGCAGCGCGAAGTCACCCCAGTGACGGACCCAGACCTGCTCGGCCTGGTGGGCTCCGACACGTTCATGACAAGTTGGGCCAACCTCACCAGGCCCCGGGACCCACAGCCGCTGCTAGCGGACGAGCCGAGCTACAGGCTACCCCCCTTCTTACCTGACGGCTTCGCGGCCAGATTCCAGCGCGTACTGGCCGACGATGACAACCTCTGGGCCAGTCGGCAGTCCGTGCTTCGCTCCATGAACAGCAACAGGCGTCTACGAACCGCTGTGGACAAGTCGCGGTGCACCGAAGACCAACCCGATGTTGCACAGGGCAGCTTGGACACGGCGCTTTGCAGCAGCAGTAGCAGGCACCTGGCTGGGGAGGAGGCAGCAGCGGATGTCCGGCGCAGAGATGCCCTGGGAGCTGCTGGGTCGCGGACGGGCGGTGCACTCAGGCGCTTGCAGCAGAATGGTTTTAGCAACAGTAGTGATGACAGCGACAGTAATAACGAGGGCAGCAGCGGCAGCAGCGTTGTCACAGATGGCCCATTGCCGCCGCTGCATCGGGAGATGGAGATGCTGGCGTATGCGGCTGACTGGCTGGTAGGCGGCTGGACGCAGCGAGGAGTACTCGGATACTGGGACCCCCAGCTCACGAATGGAATGCCCCGACAGGTCAGTTAGGGATGCTGAGGGATAGGACACCCCGAGCCGAGCCGCCACATGAAATCAAGAAAGCAAGAAAGCCCCCAAGTGATGTCCCCAAGTCGTTGCTTAGCTCCGCTCCCCCTCCGGCCGTGTTATGCACTATGTGAGCCCCTGTGTGTGGTCGGGATGCTGCCTCCTGCGCTCCCATGGCCTTGGTTGCGTGTATAGCCATCGTGTATAGCCATTTCGGGGATGGGCGAGCTCACATTCAGTAACAGCGCCCTGAGCGCCCCTTCCCCCCGCCCGGGGGTGGAGCAGCTCTTCCCCCTGCCCGGGGGTGGAGCAGTTATCGCCTCATCTGTGCCTCTCCATGTAAACCCCCACCCGGCCCACATGTCCTTGCCGCCGCCATGCCTGCAGGTCTTTGCGCACTTGGTGCGAGCCCCTGGACCGACCAGCATCGGCAAGGACGCCGTGCGTATGCAGTACGGCGAGTACAGCTGGGAGCTGGCAGCGCTCACGGATGGCGGGCCGTTTCCCTTCCTAGGGTCCCCGAATGCATCGGAAGTGCCGAGAGTGGTTGCGCTGCTGCCGGACGTCGACACCACCACCTTCACGCAGGTCCAGTGGACCAGCATGGCGCGTGGGCTGGTGCAGCTGGCCCTGCTGACGGGGCGCCGTGTCGTGTGGCCCGCAGTGCCGTGCGCGAGCAAGTGGGTGCAGCCAAATCCCGGGTCACGCCGCGCACTACCTCTCAACCAGAACTTGCGTTTTATGACCCACGGATCGTTTGGGGAAGGACTGATGTGCACACCGGCTGTAGTGCTGCACCAAAAGTGTCTGTTCGAGCGGCTGAACAGCGGGCGCAATGAGTCGTCTGAGGTTGCCAGGGATGAGGTTCCGGAGCCGCCGCGACGCGAGGGGGCGCGTGGACTGTTGCCCGTCGAGTTCGAGATGCTGCTGCGCGTGCTGCCGCCGTCAGTGGCGCAGCCGGGGTCGCACAACACAGTGCACCTGCAGAACAATGATGACTACGATGACAACGGACGTGGCGAGCGGCCAGTCATGTTTGACGAGCCCCCGCGTGCCGAGGTGAGTTGTTTGATGTTGTCTCTTTGCTCGCGGGGTAGGTGCCTTTTAAGGTGTTTACAAGAGACCTCAAGCTGAGACGTGTTGATGGGTGCTTAGTCGGGAGGGCGCAACAGCAAGAGCAACCTGGTGGATAGCTCCTGCAGGCGCGCCGCATTTGAGACCTCGTTACTTTTTGCAGTCACACAGCTCTACCGTTTTCGGCTACCGTTTCCTGCATGTTGGTTCGCGGTTGACGGGCAGTTTGTTGGGAACCGCCCACGGAAAACCGGGGACAACTATGTCGCCATAATGATGGGTGGGGCGAAGCCGGTAAGCGTAAACTTTATGATGCCCAAGTTCCCCCCGAATTGGGTCCATATGTCACTTTCATAGCACCATGCCCGCACACGCACTACCCACACTGCTATATATTGTGATTGGCGGCTGGCTGCAAATCCGGTTAGGTGGATTCCCACGTTCAGGTTTTGGGCTCTTTTCTCGTTCCGCAATCCCTCATTGGTGCAGGGCATTGTCTACGTGAAGGCGGCTGACGTGGCGAAGGCTTTACGTGAGGGGCCCCTGGCAGCACAACCCGTATTGTACTTAGCGCAGCGCACTTTCCTCACCCAGCTGGACAAGCTGGGTGAGCCGGAACTGATGGTGAAGTATAGAACCTTTAGGAACGAGTGCCCAGCACTGAAGTGATTGGTGATGGATACTACCTGCCCGGGGGTGGAGCAGCTCTTCCCTGCCTCCTTCCTAGAAGGGGGGGGGATGTGGGCGTCCGTGTATGAATATGAAGGTCAGCGAAGGATGGCCTCGCGCGAATGGTGTGTTGTGATGGCAACAGATCAGCAGGAGTTGCTTGCGAATGGTGAGAATGCGTTCAATGAGCTGTAGGGCTGCAATGCGTGTGGCCGAACTGTACTCCCAGAGCTAAAGGGCATATGCGTGTGTGCTGACGGCAGTGGTCGGTCGGTGTTGTTTTGGAGTCCTTCCGCCGATGTGAGTATTGAGTGGGCCGAAGTGACGCTGCCACTTACTGCTCGATTAACGTAACGCGCAGATATGCGCGTGTGTGTCCTTGCTGGCAAGCTGCTTTAAGTATGCCTCTGTATAAATGTTTATTTGCGCGCGTAGGAGGCGTTTGGAAACCGGCATGCAGGACGCGTTGTTGTGCTTTAGGAGGTTTTAGCATTAGTTTTTTTTGCTTGGTGCAGTTGGTCCTTGGTGTTTGCGGTTTATTGGTCACCCCCACTGCTTGGGTGCTTGATACCCGTGGCCTGATAGGATGGCCATATCTTGGGAGAAAATCGCAATGCGTCGTGACTCGCATTACACTGCATGCCTAGGTGTGGTAAGCCTGTGGAGATTGCGATGCCTTTACCTCAGCATCGCTATGGTGGTTATGAAAAGCTTTGCAAATTCAAAGTCAGAGCCCTGACTCTGGATATTGCAGTGGGCTGTCCACTCGAAAAAGCGCCTGGAGTAGTAATAGGCTCCTAGATTTCACGACACAACTCTCCCATCCTACAGCTCACAGCTCAACACCTCCATGTCCCCGGCACGGCCATTCCGCGCATGAGGGTGCGTACCAGGCGGCAACGTCATCAACCTTAATTTTCTCATTTTGTTGTTATTGATTTGGTTTGTCCGACTCTACGGAAATTTGATGGCTTGCTGACGGTGCTGTATCCCTTTGCGACTGCTGTAAACTGATACCCACCGTACATGATCCTGTGCAGACCTCCTGGTCCAGCACAGTGCGGTGGCCGCCGGGGATGTGCATTTCCCCGTGAGGATGGGGATGCTGTTTCCTCCATCGAGATTCAAGAGTGTACGACGGATTGTCGCGCGGAAAGACGAATCCCATGTATATATGTCCCGGTGTGAAGTTGTGCAGCTGGCATTGCCCCGCCCCGAAGCTACCTCATGACAGTCATTGGGTTGACAGTCCTCTCCCGAGTCCTAAGTCTGCGGACAGTCTGCAGACCGCGAGGACCAAGTCCTCGGCGAACCTGCGTCCTAGCGCCACTCCGTGCCGGCAAAGAATCAGGTCCAGCGATCACATGACTGCTCATTTACGACGCCAACTGGCATACGGAGGTCCGATGCATAGGGACGGGTGGCTCTCTCCGGGTTGTCGCAACTTAATCTCGCAGCATAGCTTTTCTCTTGTTACACATTCAGGTGGTCAGTGGGCTCTGGACCCTTCTGGTACCCGGTTGCACCGCTGGTTGGCCCCCCCCGGTTGCAGTCCGCCCAGAAATTGATGAGGCCATACTAGACGAACTGGTGATCCCCCCCCCATGGAACGGGGAGCTGCATCAAACCAGTCATCGCCGGAAGATTGCACGTGCATATGACGGTCGAGGGGTTACAGGACTGGATGCGATCAGTCCGCCTCATTAAACCGCGGAAGGCACAAAGCAGCCTATGCTCATTTGCATAGACCAGCCACATCAGCTCATATGTACGGCTCTGGTCATGCTGAGTTCCTCGCTTTGTGGATGGGTGGTGTTTTAGTCAGTGGACTGTTGCCCCTCCCAAACACTGCTGCTGTGGCGCACGTTGTGGCGCACGTTGCTGCCGTACACGGCCCAGTCGTAGCCCGCTGCGATGGGTCCAGCTGGCGGCGCTGCTTGAGCCTACAGTCGGCAGGGCCCATATGTGGAGCAGACGTCAATGGAACCCCGGCCAAGGTACTCGAAGGCTCACACACCTTGTCCAATGGAGAGGCCAGGCTCATCAGCGCTAGGACCAAATACAACTGCGCACCTGCTTCAGCTGCAGGTCGTACTCGGTGCGAGCAGTCAGACCAACTGAAGTATCGTACACAGCCTTTAGCTGCGTGATCTTTCCGCACGCACACATCGCCATTCCAAGGGGGGTCCTTCACGCGTATGCGAGCTAGTTCGTGGAGCTGATCGCCCCGAACAGACCTCTAACACGACACACACCACAAGTGCCACCGTGGTGCTACACATGCATTACCTTAAAACCCATATAGGGTGTCAGCACACGTCCACCTCGCATCGAGCCGCATGGGGAACTCCTTGAGAATATTACCGACAGGCAAAAGCTGCAACAGCATTGAGAAACCAAATTCCCGCCCTGTAGGCCCTCACAGGTGCTAACGCTGCCATGCTGGTCAGAATGGCAAGTACCTTTTCCGACCAACAATCAGTGGTACCCTAAAGCCCAAGCCCAAGGTCTGAAACGAACGCTCCATGGCACATTATTGTCCCGCCGGGCCTCTCCACCACGGGGTTCAATATCTAAGAAGTAGGTTGGCCCCGTGGGCCTGCAGTGGCCGCTGAGACGGGTCACGGTAGAGACTGATTATGGTGTGGGGTTTCGCGCGCCTACCACAGATCGCATGAATGCACGCTGTTCCTCGACCATAGGGCTAGTCATAGCGCTTTCAAAGCTTACATTGCATCCCGTACGATAAGACGGGAATGACAAGGGGTGTTCAAAGGCCCATGCAAAGCTTAGGCGCAGTAGCCTCATTACTGCGGCACATTGCGGTGAGGTCGAATGTGACTCGCTTCCCCGCGGCTAACAGCTGCTGCTTCGTGCAGGCAGTGAAGTGCTGTCCCGGCCCGTAGTGCAGCCCCCGAGGTCAGGTGTAGAGTCACTCCCGGTCAATCCACGCAGCCTGGTACTATCCAACGAACACACAGCAGCTGTTGCCTCCATGACCTAATTGCACTCGCGCTATGTTCCCCCAAGGATGATTGTTTTACAAGTATTTGCAGTATTTGCCGCCATGCCAGTCGCCTGAGAAGTAATGATCTAGCCAGAGCGGAGCGGGCACTGCTGCGCTCGCTAGTGCCCGGTTGCCATTAGGGATGCATCATCGACGAAAAGCGGGTGGGTGGGCTCGTCCCCAACCAGCAGTGACCCACTCTGATCCCCTAGGCCTACGGCCCACCGCGCGGGAAGGCGCAGGCGGCATTCGATGTCGTGTGCATCATCAATGAAACGTGCCGAAGCCGCTCCTACATCCCCGCCTGACTCGCGGCGCGAGGTACCGTTATCCGCAGGGCAACCAGGCAGGCGATAATCACTTTAGCGTGCAAGAGGGGCTGCGCAGCGGGGCCCCAATTGATGCCTTAATTGATAATTATCAGAGCAGCCGACATCCCACAATTAATTGCTCCTAAAAAGGTAAACCTCGAGGAAGCAAAACTGCAATGTCTTATACTGGTTCCAAGAAAAAAAACTCATATATGGAATAGGACTTCTCGAGGGGGCTAGTTTGCAATATGCTCTCACTTGAACAGCAGACGGATACACCGTTACGGTAGCTATCGTCAACCTGCACATGGCCTGGACCGAGACTTCTAGAGAAAACTAAATCTTACAGAGAATTTCTTGAGGTTATGTGCGCCTCTAGGCGCAAGGCACCAAGCTTCGGCTTAACGACACTAACGAAAACCAACCGACTCTTTGTTAAAACCCCTTCCGAGTTCGGAAAGCATCAGCCTCGCAACAGGGAAGGGGTTGCGTCACATTTCTGACATCAATCATGAGTTATTGCTTATTGCACGCGTTAACCGTATCTAACGTGGAAAGTATTCGTGCTTCAAGCGTATTAACTTTTCCTGTTGCGTACGTGTCCGTACAGGCCTCGAGCGCCCGAGCACATGTCCGAATAACTTATCACAGTATGCCTTTGACGAATGCCATAAACAAAATGCGGCTCCTCCTAAGTTAGCCTTGTTGTATCGCTATGGCCACGAACACGATGCGTCCCAAGAGCACGTGCTGGCGTCCCATACGCTCCCTGAAAACCTCGATAGATTTTTTGAGCTTTTAGGTTACAAAACATCCAAATATTGGTGTTTAGGTTGTTAGCCATCCCAAAGAAGGCATAAGCAAGCCAGCAACGACAAGGTGCAACTGCCACCGCAACGATTGCCTTTGCTACCCGCAGCTCATTAGTACCGATCCTCCCACCGTATGGAAGCTCTATCAATTGTTTATTGAGATAATAAAATGGAGGCGTCCATATGATTAGCCCTATGTCAAGCTTGACAATGTAGGGTTATCAGTCCTAATCACATGAAGTGAAGGTAATATATGTTACTTATTCTGTGCTTCTGGAAAGACGGTGTAATCTCTGTGCAGCTTTGCACATCCAATGCCTGTTACGGTCTGTCAGTCGAAAGGTGAGAACGCCTTGTACTTTTCTTCCGCTTCTCGTATCTTGGATCACTCTACAGACCCCTGTTTCTTAGCATACATAAGCAGTGTGATGAAAAGCCCAACACCTCGAATGATGGTTAACGTCGTGTTAGGATAACCTACTTAGGTTGCCTAGGTCATGCCGAACAGATTAGGAAGAGCGTCTTCGGCTCATGCTGCTGGCTTTGCATGTCGTCCTGGACTGTTGAAGTCTGATGATGACTCTGCGAACGATGTATTGTACGGCATGCTTTGATGCTTGTCGAGTCGCCCACAAAAAGTCTACCTCCCAGTAATAATTTGTGCCTAATGCAGCAGGCCAGAATGTTGGGATTTCGTCGCATTTTTACATGTTAGCTATGCGCATCCATTAGTTGAGGTGTTGCGAGATGCGCTTTAGGATGAGGTCTGTCGCTGTAATCTTGGTATCTTTATTAGCATTTATATTTTACATGGTTTTGGAAATTAGTAGGTAAGACGGGGCAGCTTTGCACTGAAAGCTCTTTGCTAGAGGACTTCACCTATCCGGATTTCTGCAGACCGGACCTCCTGCTTGTTGGAACGGTCACAATAGATGTTGTGGATGATGGCTCGCGGCCAGCGGTAGGTGGTGGGAGTGGGCTTCGCTCTCTGTCGGCCATCAAGTGGTCATCTCCAGCTTTCCTGCCGCAGGGAGGGGCTGTATCCTATGCAGCAGCAGCTGTACGAGCGTATGGAATTAAAGCTTGCGTTGTTACAGGTATCTTGTACGGGGTTAACTGCTTAAATACCCGGGCGACCCAGGGACAGGGAGGCTGCACCAGTTTCACCTCAAGGGTCAGATTGCTGCAAATCCCACAGCATAAACTGTGGCACGACGAGCTGCTTGATCTCACCCATTGTGACGCCCTGTCGGCCGCCTGCACAGTGGCTGGTCCGGATGCTGACCTATCGGTGTTTGAGGGCCACGAACTCCACGTTGTGCCCGCAGCGTCAACATTGACATTTGAGCACACTTACACCTGGTTTGGTACGTCCCCCTCCGCCGGTAGTCGGCTCCTTGGTAATCTTGGTGCAGCAGGGGGGGGGTCTGCTGTGGACAGTAGATGGAGGTTGCAGGCGCTAGCAGTGGGACCCCACGCCACAAGACGTGCTGGGGCCCCCCCTTGTTAAGGGGTTTAGGGGAATGTACATGAGTCGCCTCACAATGCACCCCAAACAATCCATTGCTATATCCGACGCACGTAGGGTGGGGCATCTATTCCTCAGAAGCGTGTCGAACAGCCTCTCTAAGGCATCGGAAGCGGGACCTGGCGGACCTTGGACCCAGACATCCGCACCCAAGGATGACGGACGTTGCAGCAGGCTGACTCATTAGTCAATGTGCGCCGCTACACTACGCTACGCCGCAACCGTGTGCCGTTTCCCCGCTGCTCCAGGGCATCAGAGGAAATTGCGAGTGACAGCCAACCCCAACGTCACGCTGTCCAGGTCCCATGTGCCGCGGCACTGTCAACGTGCACGCACGGTCATTTTAGGACCGCTGACTCAGCATGAGCTGGATGCCGCCTCTTTCCTCGAGTATGATGGTACGGGTGTAAGGCAGCGCCGCCACCAATGAGTTTCTTCTGCGACAGAGGGGTTGTGATGACTTCTTATTTTGAATTGAATTGTTACAGAGTGGGAGGCTTCTGTACTACGCCATACGAACTGGAAGTCCAAGGCGGTTGATCTTGCCTTCTAGGATCCCTCCTCATCCATTCACCCGAACATCCGCAGAGATAGAGGGTTCAGCAATCGCCACCAATCCAGCGTGCGAATCTCGATCCATCGACTGTGATCTCAACTCCACATCTCAGCAGCTAGCCATAATGACTTCCTGGATAGCTGAGCTGAGCTGAGCTGAGCTGAGCTGGCAGCCTTGCCTGCCGTTGGCCTGCCTCGTTCTTCAGCTCCCCCTCTCAGACCACGCCATGTGTGTGACCCACCCCATGTTGCTCCTGGCATTACTTGCACTGCCACGTAGGGCTGTGGGACCAGCTTTACCGCGGCAGACAGCACATTGGGCTCATGGCGCAGGGCTATCAGCGCCGCCTCGGGCCAGACGGCCGCGTTCTACCGCTGCTGACGCCATCGCCGCAGCTGCTGGTGCGTAGCTGTGGGAGGGGGGGACCGTACGTGCTGGTGCGCGCTCCGTGATTTAATGATTTTGGGAAGCTGTATGGGCTGTCGCTATCTATGGGCTCGTTTGAACCATTCGTGAAGGGCCGTGCGGGGATCTCAGCATCCGCCTTCGCCGCCACACGAATGGGGACTCGGGTTTGGTCCCATGAGACACCAACGCCACCTCGGGATGCATCTAGGATCACACTGGGCCCTGCCTGCCGGAGCACAGATAGCTGTGCTTTGGGGTTATAATGCAATGCAGGCCGGTTTGGGGCGATGGCAGCGAGTTTCACTGTTCCTATCGGACGTGGAAACGGACCCTTGGAGTGAAGACTGGTTGGGCCTGGTGGTGAGCCGTGCCGAGCGTGTGATCATAACACGGGGTAGCCAGGGTGCCACCGAGTACAACGACACCGGTGTGCATACCATCGATATTGTCCCGGTAAGGGCTGCGGGCGGGTGAGGATGGGATGATAACCACCAGGTGAACCCCATGTCAAAAGCAAAAGACGTTGGCGGTGAAATGCGTCACCCCTTGCCAAAAGCTTATCGGGGTACATGCTCAGTTGGCTGAGTTGCCGCTCAGGAGCATCAGGAGCATCCAACCTGCCGCAGTCCTTCCCTTTCTACATATCACAGCCCCGTATGTTGCCGATCCCTGTTTCAGCTCTTGGCTTGTACATGTCATCCACTGCGGCTCGATTTTATTGCGTACATGCTTGTTTGCATGTTTGTAAGACAGCTCGGAGCGCATTAAGACCACACTGTCCCTTAACTCGTGACCCGGGGACACCCGTGGTCGTCCTGGACTACCGTAACAGCCCGCCTAGCTGGCACCTCCTTAGGTGGACCCGCAACACGTTTGCCATCCGCTCCTACTTGTGTGTATTTCGGGCCCTGTGCAGGTGGATAAGGTACGGGACACTAACGGCGCCGGCGACACCTTTGCAACAGGGTACATGTTGGCCCTTTCACGGGGTCTCAATGACCCCGGCCACCACGCCGCCTGGGCTGCCAGCCGAGCCGTGATGCAGGCGCAGTCGTGTAAGCCTCAGTGTGCGGCCGACCTCATTGAGGGGCATGTGCCGGCTTGGAGCGCGGCCGACCGTGCCGGGGCCGCGCTTCGTGCACTGTCACATAGTGCGGAGGGCGTTGTGAACCTACTAATGAGGGACGGAGTCGCAGCACTCATACACCTCCGCAAGCTGTCGCAAGGGTCGCTGTCGAAAGCGCTCGCACGCGCGTCAGATACGAGACTGGCGAGCGGGAAAGGCGAGGGTTGATAGCTGAGAGAGTGTCAGGCAAATATGCGATACCATGTCATGAGGTTGTAAATGCAGGAGGCCGTGCTGGTGGCATATCGCTGGATGGCACCAATGATAGGGAGTGTTAGCTGTCAGGAGGCGGGATGCAGTAGCTTTAAGCGCGAAACGGGTACATTTGAGATAACCTCGATTCTCTGGTAAGAATGCCGATGTGCGGAAGAATATCTGATTTGAACCTCTAGAGGAGCGAATTCAGCGCCATTAACTGGAGGTTGAAGAGGAGGCCATGGCGATATTCAGCAGCAGATAGATGGCTGAACTGGCGGCTGGAGGTGTATATTATGTTGGTGCTTGTGATGTGGATTCGGCCAGGGAAGGAAACAGAAGCTGTGCAGTTAAGCAGGGTTACTCAATAATATTGGGCAAATTCTGCATGTATGGCCATGTTCACTCTCGTTCAGTAATAACACGGAGTGACAGTAACGAGCTTTTTTCGGCTTTTTGAGGTAACGGAGGTGATGACCCCTAATCGTTTTGTACATTTTGCTTTTCATCGGCTCGATAGGAAGGAAGTAACCGGTAAGGTGATACGTCATGTGGGTGGAGAGGCTGAAACCTGCAGAGTGCTTACGTTGTTCACTGTCATGGGTTGCGCCGAGTGCATTGCTTAGCCGTGCATTTACGAACATAGTGTCACGCGCGTTTTTAAAGGGTATGCAGAGGCGAACCCATATATACCACCATCAGTGATAGGGAGGGAGCCATAGCTGATTTCCGGCAATGGAAGAAATTGAAATCTTCGAATGACCGAATGATTGGCCACAAACACCCCCAAAACCACAGTTACCACAAAATCGAGGTTTCCATCCTTCATATACCCAACATCGTCCGATATGTTTGAAGATTTCAAGGCGGAAGTGCAAGTGCCTCGCAGTACCTCGCGCCAGCGTGTGGCACCGGTCCAGGTGCCGCAAGCTGCTGCTACATGTTACTGCGCCAATCCGGGTGCGAATGCATCGCGCCTCCACAGCCGGCCATGTCCTCAAAGTTGCGGCAAGTAGATGTGTCTGAACACCTGTTCAATGTTCAGAACCTGTCCGGCTCTTAGCAAGTCTCATCACCTACCCGTCGATTGTGCCGCCCAGTTAGAAACGGAAACCATTCCACAACCGAAACTATCCGGAACCGTTCCACAACCGCCACCAAGCGTTGCCTTGGCACGCGCACACAAAGCGGCGGCTAAAATTTGTGTCGTTATCCTGCCTGCGATGGGTAGCCACGGTGTTAAGTATAACTGCACACGACGCATTATACCACTACCACTAGTACAACTCGGCAATTTGGGAGCACCGCAGTCATACGAGAGGGCAGAGGCTATCTGCCCCTGGCAGCACAGGTCCGATGGAGACTGGAATACTACTGAATGAATGAAGACGCTCCTGTAAATGGTGTTAACGTTCCTCTTGCCTTGGACCTACGTGCCTAGAGCCGCAAGGGCCGCACGCGGCCTTGGCCACAAGGTGAAGGATGTGCTTCACACCCCTACCGACCGCCTGTTGGTGGTTGCTGGAAGCCAGCCGCTGTCACGTTGCCGTACTGCTGTTCCATTTGCTCCATTATGGGCAGCAGCATCTGCCCAATGGGCGATTGCAAAATCCGCTGGGCTTGGCCGACATACTCGTCCTACAATGCAGAACAACATGTCCGGAGGAACATGTAAAACTTATGCATGGCACCAGGACCTGCCAGAGGACTGCAGACACATGCCCGCGTAATACATGATCCAACAATACACTCCTTTGCTTGCATGCGATCCAGCATCCCTATGGTACAATCTGCTGAGTGGAATGCCGCATAGACCCATAGACCTACTCGCCTAAATCTGAGGCAAGCAACACGGTGTATGTTGTAAGGCTGCTAAGAACGCAAGTACCCCTACGTTTTGATCCCAAAGCCGCCAGTGTGCGGCGCCAGTGTCACTGACCGGAATGGGGTTTCCGGTGAGCAGCTCCGCCCAGGCACTGGAGAAGTGGTTGCAGTTCTTAGTGATAAGGTTGTAATCTTGTGGTTTATAACGTGTACTCAAGTCCGCAAGCAACTCTTCCCGCACGTCCTTAGGTATATGGGTGACTCTGCATACAGTCCAAGACCGCAAGTTAAGAGTATAACAAGATTATCAGGCATCTGTCACTCAGGCCATGCTCGCCATCCCCCGTTGGCGGTCACATGAGTGCCGCGAAGGCTGGCAAAGGAGGGGTGAAGACTTGGTTGGGCCACGCGTGAAGTGGATGCACGTGTACCGCGCAGCGCCAAAATGCGGACGACGTGAGAGTGCGCCAACGGATGCATTACAGTCGCTTTCACCCACCACCCACCCAAGCTCCACAGTACGTAGGGGAGCCCCGAACGGGGTCTGTCCAGCGATGCAACGTTGTACACCGCCTCCAAAAAAGTACTCAATACCGCCGACTACCACGCCGGTGTGATAGATCGCATCAATCTGGGGTTCCGCATGAAGCGTCAAACGTGTGCGAGTTGCAGAAAGTTGGCGTTTTTGCATGGCCCAAGTAGGGCACCTGCCTGTTGACCAAGTAGCATCGGTGACAGACTCCGTGCGAGTCCATTTGTCAAGTCATAGACATAAAGGAAGACTTTCTCCCCGTCACCCATTTCGCCTTAGCTGCTTAGGACAACTCTCAATTTCCGTAACAATGGGGAAATCCTCTCCTATGAAATGCAGCTAAGACGCATCCACAGGACTTGACATAAAGGTAGTGACAGACAGCTTGGATGCGTCAACGAATACAATGGCTTCTCATGAATCTGCGCTTCAAGCTGTGTTGTTTCATTTTACTAATTATATCCAAACTTCCTGGAGTCTAGAGGGTGCCGGAAGATGGTGGAATGAGGTAAGGCGCAGGGCCAACGTAGTACTTTATGATTACATCCGGTCATATAGCAGCTTATTATATTCAATTGTACACTGTTCTATATACAGTAGTAGAAATCTTGGTCTGATAGCATAACATTGCGCAGCATGCAAACGTACAGCAGATTCACTAATTCACCATTTCGACCATGTTCGCGGAAGCCCCGCACCTGCTGTCGTCTAGCTAATATGACTGGGATAGGTCTGTATGGCTCAACGACGGGTGTGCAGCCTTTTAACTTGTGATATAATGGATGTGTGTGTGTGCAGTGACAGATGAGGACCGGGAATACATCCGTCGCGCACTTTCGCTTGCAAGGAGAGCAGAGGGGAAGACGTACCCCAATCCAGCCGTGGGCTGTGTTATTGTGAAGGACGGCCGGGTATGTGTCGGGGTCCCATTGCTCGTACCCCAGCTGCAACACACAAACCATCCCGGCCAGCGCACCCTCAATCCAGCTGACGTTCCCATCTAAGAGAGCATCATGCGGTCCTGTGATTCTGCGTGGCGTCCTCAGGTTGTCGGCGAGGGTTACCACCCACAAGCGGGCAAGCCCCATGCGGAAGTGTATGCTCTTCGTGGAGCAGGTGACAAAAATAAGTATGCGCCCTACGGAAATTACACCTAAAGGTGTTTACCTTGGTTTGCTCAGTGCTTCCTGCCCGTCCTCAATATGGATTCCTTTGCAGGAAACCAAGCTGAAGGGGCAACAGCCTACGTCACTCTGGAGCCATGCAACCACCACGGCCGGACACCGCCATGCAGCAGGGCCTTGGTTGATGCGCGCGTGGCACGGGTGCGTGTGCACGAGCTTAAGGCCACCCGACAGCGAAAAATATGTGCACCTTAAGTACCATGGCAGGAATTTGACTGACTAGTGCACAGGTGCTGCATTGCGATCTACGACATTTGCAAGGCGAGATTCCTTCACAATGCTGCTGTTGCCCGATGCGTTTAATTAACAAGTCACCGCGCAGCTGCCTGTCGGCGCATCTCTCGGGTCTTATTTGGCTTTCGTGTGACATACACCAGGTGCATGGCCATCTCCCTGCAGGTGGTTGTCGGCGTCGGTGATCCTAACCCCCTCGTCGCCTCAGAAGGCATTGCAACTCTGCAACGCGCCGGCATTGAGATCGCTGTGATGGACGGAACTGAGCGGGATGCCTGCTATGACATCAATAAGGAGTTCATGGAGCGCATGGCCGCTGCTGCTGCGGCGACTGCAGCAGCAGCCAAGCCGTGAGTAACGAGCCGCATCCACTCCATGAACAGAAGTGCCTTTTGGGGAAGCGGACTGGAACCCGTACGGCTTGAGAGTACGGATCGCGTCGGAATGGCAGCCCTCCTTTACGAGGATAATTGTAATGGGAAGCTGTTCCGATGCCCCATCAGGAGTTCCTTTGCTTGGTCAGGGATCGACGTTAATTATGTGTGTAAGAAAGTCCATGCCACAGCGTGCGTCTGTATTTCCCTGACCCGCTGTAACGAGTTTGGCACGGTAATGCCGTGCGGTCGTGATCACCATTAGGTGAACCTGTCAATTACATTTCGCTTCTGGCGTGTTCGTACGCTGTCGTCCTGGCACTGGTCCAATTGTGTTATACGGACAGGAATGAAGGATCGGCCGTTGAAACCAGGTTAGTGGTGTGCAGTGGCCTGACTCCGAGGCACAGAAACACATTGGCATCCACGATTCGAACTGAAGGTGAACGTGCAGCCCATTTCCTCCGTACCCCCTGACAGTTGAGCGCTGGCCGGTCAGCATCCCGCTCTCATGCATCCGACCTGGGGTTCCCAAGTTGAAAGTTGTAAAACTGAACTTGGATGTGTGTACATTGTCGGATTTGTGTAGCGCCTGCAATGGACTCCGCAATTTCAGTTGCCGTGCTATCGCATGCTGACGTAGTTTTGAAGCCGGCGACATGTACCAGCAGTAGCAGACTTTTAGCAGGCAGCTAACACAGTGGTACAGCAATTTCCAGCAGCAAGGGGCACGTGGACCGCGGCTGTCTGTCGCGTGGCCCGCTGCTCGCTTGATGCAGCTCGCCGTCTATGTTACTGGGTGCAACCCGACTGCGTGTAGTCTGGACGGAGGTGCAATTCACGGTTGTGCACCGGATAGAAAACACACACTAGGATGAACCTAACCAGATATGTACGGCTAAAGTCGCAATGAACGCGCTGACGCCTTACCTGGCGCCGGCGTTAGCCACGCGTGGGGGCATCAGCTTACTGCAAACCAGGTTTACTTACCCAGGGTCCTAGGTAGCACTATGCACTGCAATGTGCTTCAGAGCGTAGCGTTCCCCTACCCATGTGTGTGTGGGGGGGGGGGAGAATGCAGGAGCGCAGCGCTTGCCAACCCCTGCAACTCCATTTCTCCTGCTACAGTACATGTACGACCCAGCTCTGAGCATCTTGGAACCAGCTAGTTGTACGGCAGCAGATTAATTAACGGCAGTGTTGTTTGCGACACATGTACTGTCCATCAGTACCGCCTGGCCAGCCCCGAGGGCCTGCAGCCCTGCGTAACATGGCGCCTCATTACACTCTCATGACATCTCGGTAACCCGTAAGACGACCACACCAACCGGTCCCTGGGCATCACCGTAGCTCCGGTGTGGGGTGTCCGCTGTGAGATCCGCTGTGACGCCCTGAGCGACCTCCTTCATTTTGTGGACTTTTCGCTTTTATGTAACAACTATGTGCTGGTGGATGTGTGGAAAATACGCTTTTATGCAAAAAATATATGTTCGCGGGGTGTAGCTGCACTGCCCATGTGAAGCTTTCGAACCGCTGTATGGCCCCCGCTGGTGCTTGGGCCCTCACCACCAGCACCAGGAGTGTGGGCTGCGATGGACGTTCATCATCACAAACATAACTACCCACAAGGGCCGCGAAAAAACGCCACCAATATGCTCCGCTTGGAAGCGCATGACTGATTGCGACGCATCGCGCACCGCCGACAAGGAACACCCGTACACGCATCCTGTTCAGTACACAACACAACTGTAAATATGTTTCTGCATGAGTGTCTAAACTAGTCCCGCGTCAACGCACGTCTGCATAAGTGTCTAAAATAGTCCTTCGTGCGCACATGCCTTGTGCGCCTCTATGTGTGTGTGTGTGTGTGTGTGTGTGTGTGTGTGTGTGTGTGTGTGTGTGTGTGTGTGTGTGTGTGTGTGTGTGTGTGTGTGTGTGCGTTACTTCGAAACCCGTCCAAACCGGACAGACCACACTGCCATGATACCCCACCGCAGCCATCACGGTGGCAAATCATCTCCAAGGAAGGCTTCTATCTGTGTACAGGGAAAGATTGTGGATAAAAGCAACGAATTCAATTCGTGGCATGAAGTTCATGCCAAATCATGCCTACACCTGACAGGGGCCTCAAATGAAGCAGTATTGCGTTCTGGAAGCAGTTGAGCAAGCAGGAAGTCATGCTTATCTAAGGAGCTTAACAGCGCGCTGTGCACAGGTTTGGAGCCTAGCAACGAAATTAGTACAACCTGTCATGGTTTTCTACTATCTGTTTAGTTTTACAAGCCCAGGGTATCACACCGGGAATCGCAAATATTTGGCAAACATGGCTCGGTCGTGTTGAAAGCTTAAAAATGAAATCCGACAGGTAAGTGCTCTAATTGCTTTTGGTGGTTGGTTTATATCGATGTACGGCAGCTCCGGCATGTAGTCAGGGCAATGTACCCGAGCTTAAACTTGCAAGACCTTAGCAAGGAAGCCAAAGTAATCCATAGGTTATATTGACGGGCGTTGCCTCCCTCCACAAACGTTGCCAAGCGTCCCAAGCGTCGGCCGACCTCCGGTTGAGTTAGTTGGCCTTGGAGAGTGCCTTGGCAAATTACTGGCGAAAAGGATCACTCCTATCTACGAAAAGGGATAACAACGGATATAGGTTTCCCTAGTTTAGACAGCTATGTTACGGCTTTTGTATTGTGAGTTGTAGCGGACCGCGGTTTCGCCTGAATAGCCATGTTCACTGCTTGCAAGTAGCTTATACTTGAAAAATGTATTATTGGAGGCATAGTTAAAGTTCTTGGAGCTGAATGCTTTTGTCAGCAGGTTGACTTTTTTCCTGGCCAGGAGAACGGTGTCCACCGTCTGCTAATTATATGGACATAGCGATGAGTTAACCAACGCCTACAGGGGTGCTCGATCCCCTCGTTGGACTTAGAAGCATGGCGTCGTCTTCAAACGTATCTTTGGCGGATAGGGTGGAGCCAGTTCCAGATGCTATCCTTCCAAATGTACGTCGTTTTGCATTTAGCAGCTTTCGGCATCGCTCGGTCCTGGCCTCAGTACGCGGTGGCTTGATGTCGCAGGCCTTGCGGCAGAATCCAGCTAGCGTGGGGCTGTTCAAGGATGAATTCCGTGCAGCTCAACGGCTGCGCTCATCGGAATGCGTCTTTATTCCTGAGGTACTATCTTGGGGACATCTCAGGATGGTAGGGCGGAGGGAACGACGATAGAAAGGCTTTGCCGTCGCCAAAGCAGGCAGGCCACCAGTGCACAGGAGGACATGGGGTATCACGCTGGACACATGAGGTGGCGCAGTTGTAAGGTTAATGCATAGCGAACTGCGTTGAGGTCGTCGCGCATCCTCGGTGTGTAT